GAGAGAGAGAGAGAGAGAGAGAGAGAGAGAGAGAGAGCCGCCGTACATTCGCGGTCGATCCATCAGTGCGCGCGCGGCCAGTCCGGGCGAATTCATGACCACGCGGAGTGCGATCTCCGGGGGAGTCAGTGCCACGAAGAGTATCAGCGGAGTCCATAACTGCCCGTTACGCGAAGTATGCACAACGGTGCATTCCACGTGTGCCTGCTAGCGCGTTCTCACGTGGTGACCACCGCACACGTACATAGGAAAACGTGTCGTGAACGTGGGCGTGCATTCCTGCCTTCGCATTATCTCCTCCTCGCGCTCTTTCTCTCTTTCTCTTTCTCCGTTTCTCCACCTCTTCCGCGCTTTCTCCGCGCTGTCACCTATCCCCCTTGGTTCCACGTTCTCTTCTCTTCTCTCTCTTTCTCTCTCTCTCTCTCTCTCTCTCTCTTTCATTCTCTTTCCCGTCTCTCTTTCTCGCGCCCGTACGCGCCCGTCGACTGGCCACGTACGAGAAGGAATCCTCTCCTCTTTTTATTCCTCATCCAGACCCGTTATCGTGGATACCATGGCCCGGAACGACTGTTTCACACCTCCGCTCGCGCGGGAATTAGGAAATAAATTAGCGACCGGGCTAATTTCGTTATCTCGTCGGATGGTCGCTTGCCCCACCCCGCTTAAGACGTCAAGGCCCGATGTCGGGTCCGAATGCGGGGCCTGGACATGGTCGAAATCGTGTCCCGGTACCACAGGATCAATGGCTCTTGCTCGGTCGCGCGGACTCCGAATGGGGCTTCGTTAAAAACGGGTCAATCCCGATTAAAGTGACGGCGAGCGGTAAGCTACGGCTACACTGGTACTTCGCCATGACCATATTCGGAGAACCGCGATAGCCGCTCTTGTAATTAACCCACGGCGTCGAGGAGGAGGTGTTTCTGAGAAGTGGCGTGCGCAATGCCGTAATTCACTCGAGTATTTGTTTAACCCATTTAGCGCAATGCGCTATGCGTGTATGTTTTATGGTTGTCCGATTAGAAGCACGTAACGCAAACGCGCAACCAATGATATGTCTTCGTTCACGAATTCTCCTCTTTCGCGACACTTCAACTGTCGTCACGTTGCATTTTGAATGAAGGAAATTTTTTAAAATATTATCACGATCAAATTTCCACGGCTTTGAGGAATTACCTAGATAGATAGAGAGGTACGTAAATTTGACAGCAACTCTTCCAGACTTTCATGATTATCTGGATATGAGATGATTGGCGACGGAAACTTTACAACCTTTTTAATTACATTGATGAAGCAAATATGCCGCGTTGAATTTATTGCCAAATTTACATCACACAATAATGTAAATGTTTTATTATATTTATGCAGCAAATATTTACATTTATTTTCTAGATTTACTAGTAGATTTGTAAAGATTGCGTTCCTTATAAGTGGTTCATATGGAAGTTATATTTGTCACATAGAATAATGAAATAGAAATAACGAAATCGAATTTTACTAAACAAATTCACCAAAAGTTATACTCGCTTACATTGATCTGAATGTGACTTTTAGTAAATTTATTGCTACATCAATATAACAAAAAGTTTACATTATGTGTTATGTAAACTTAATAATTAATTTCCTGGTAGAAAAGTATATATGCACTTATGTAGACACTTGCCTAATTATTATCTTGTGTAATACATTTTCATTAGTTGTAAAAATTCTGCGAAGGAATTTGGTAAAAATTTAATGAAGTTTCATTCAGTAGTTGAAGCAGTTTACTATATAATATGTGGTTTGATTCTCTCCAAGACATAGTCTTCAATCAAATTCGATCAATAATATTGATTCAGTCTTATAATGTGTTCGTATTATAATGCCTATAAATGAATAAATTTAAAACACTTTTATTTATATTGTTATAAAGGATTTTAAAACCAATGAGTAAATGTGTAAAAAAATATAGAGTAAGGAAATTGAAATTGAATATGAAATTGGAATTGGAAAAGGAAACCGAAGGAAATAAGACATTTGATAATATTAAATCCTCTGTGATAGAGATGACAACCAAGGCTAGAGAAAAGATAAATAGGGTATATGTTAATAATACAGAACTTCACATCGCGAGAGATGAGAAAATATATCAGACTATTCTGATAGTAATGATAAAAATGCAAATTGTCATAACTCAAACACAGAACTTGATAAAATAGTAC